CTCATCAGTCATGTATCAAAAGATACATTCTTGCCTAAGTATGTATCACACATGCCACATAACTGACTGAGGTATATATATATATATATATATATGAGAGAGAGAGAAAAAGGCAGACAGAAAAAAATAGAAAAATAAGATTAAAAAAAAAGAAAATCATTTAGAATGATGATTGCTCATGATGTTAGAAAGGCTATCACTAATGGGGAAAGCCTTGTGAGGTCTGCCCGCCTTCCCAAAAAAAAATTTGCAACCCCCCACGAAAAGATGCAAACTACTTTTAGCATCCAAATTCTGATTTGCAGCTGCCTTGACTTAAAGGCTGGCCACCTGATTCAAAACACTCTGGCAACAGTCTTGATGTCAGGCCCTAAAAGATAATTCTGTTAAAAAATTATTGGTCATAAGTCTATCAAAGGTAAATATCTTGAAATATAATGAAACTCACAATTAGGCTGAGAAACATTTCATGACTTACCACTTGCTTTGTGTTTATGTCTCTTCAGATGAAAACAAGAATTTTCTTTCAAGCACTAACTCGCAGTGTCTACTCTTATTTATTGATTATGTAAGCAGCATTTGTTCCGTAGAAATAATGATAAAAACCATAGATTTCAGTATATGCAGAAATTTCTCTTTGTATTCTATAAAAATAGATGTTTTCACCTGAATTATATAACAGTCATAAGTTGTTTGAATTTCTCTGATTAAGCAATTTATCATTCATCCTATTATTACTTTTTATCACAATGTATATGCCATTTTATATTTCTTCTTCTTTCATGTGCAGTGTCCCTTCAGAATGTAGGCGATCATGGCTCTCCACTTCCCCCTATCCCTTGTAGCTAACAACAAGTTTTGTCCCAGGCTATGTTCTGTCATCCACTTCCTTAAGCCCACTAGATATGTCAAGCATTGCTTTCCTTTGTTTCTCTTTCCCTCTAATTGACCTGTGAGTATCAAATTCTCTAAGCCATCCTTTCTCATTACATGTCCCAGAAATTTCAGCCACCTCTTTCTGATTTTAAGTTTCCTCTTTGTTTACATCCTCTCCCAAACCTCATCGTTGCTCACATGCTCGGTCCATGATAGCCTTATCATCCTTCTGTAGAAACATATCTCTGTTGCCTCAAGTCTCTTCATCTTTGAGGAGACCATCCAATATTCACTGATGTAAAGGAGGGCAGATGTCACATAGCAGTTCAGTACTCTTTTCTTTGTTACCAAAGAAATCCTCCTGTCGCGTAATACTAAGCCTAACTTTTGGAATGCATCTTTGGATTTTATATTTATCAACCCTAAATAAACAGTATAAAGTGGAAATCCAAAAGCAGCTGTTGACAAGACAAAAATGTGCTTCCCATATCTCATGTGACATAAACTGACACCAAATGAAGAATTGAATTTCAAATCTCACCAGACAGTTTCATTTTTTTATACCATATTCTTTATATTCACTCCATGAGAGAAGGCATAAGAATTTCAATTTGTACAAATTTCATTTTCATTCCTTGTCAGATCTTGTCTTTCATATGGATGCCATGCATAGTGCCCAACCCATTCATAAATGGATAAACTGTCAGCTGTATAAAACTGCATTCTCAAATCAATGATTAAAAATGGCTTCCAACAAATAAAACCTCTAGGACCATTCTTCTTTGAACCTTATAGACTGGCTCTACCAAATCACAAAGAACTGGACAAATTGACAGAAAGCACATCACTTGAGGACTTTCAACAACAACAATAAGTAAAATGGATAGCACATGTACCTCAAAGAAAAAATAATTTTGTAATCAGGATGTTGATGTTCCACACTATTTTAAACAAAAATTTAAGACAGCCCTCTTCAGTACTGGAAAGAGCAATAACACTTAGTAGACTTGACAAACCTATTTTCCTGAAAATTATTTTATGAATTTCAACCACTAGTAACACTAGCTGCTTGGTCAATAAATTCTGTATGTTTCCATATAAGGAAACAGCTAATATTACCATTAGTTTTGATTAGTTTAGCTTTTAACATTTTAGATGAAAAAGAATGTGGTTATAAAAGTAGATTTAAACATTTCCAGTTTTGATTTGGTTTGTGTTATGGCATATCAACCTTAATGGGTTATTTAATGCCAACAAGATTTTTATTGCTGGGAATATTTTTTTCTAAAAAGAAGTATTGCTGGGAATATTTTTTTCAAGAATGTATTTCTGGTACTAAAACCTATTTTTACACTTTCATAGTGTTTTGACCACAGTTTGGGGGTTAACTATTTACCCACAGCTGGGACCCTAACAGGTACTACCACTCTGGGTCGGGATGGACCTGAGAATGCCAGCAATTAAGATGTGGTTCCACACTCCTTAAAACCTTGCTGTCGGACGTAGTTTATCATCATACCCAGGATGGTAAACATTTCCTGCATACTTGTCTCTGTGACTAAATTTGTAAGGTATTGCTAATATCAGATGAATCACAGGGATATGAATTGTGAGTTTAAAAAAAAAAGACATCGTCTTCTTGAAGTAAAGTTAAAATTCAGATTTGGTCTGCATGTGCGTATGAAAAGATACTAAATCAACAAATAAATAACTGTTAATTATAGTAAAGATGATAAACTGATCAGATCTGGCAAAAAAATACATTTTATTGACTGAATTTATCAAAAGAATGGGCCACTTTTTCCACATGATCAACATATTTTCAATCTTAGAAGACATGACAATTCCTGGAGTCATTCCAAATAAGTCAATGCTACAAACCATCAAATAAAAAAAACTAATTTTGTAAACATGGACAACTTAATTTCAAGCTAACACACACATACACATATAATAAAACAAATGTGTTAAGATCACTCATCAAGTCTAATTAGCCAGTTTAACTCCAAGACTTCAACACACACAATAACACATATTATACAAATGTGGATCAATATGTCTATAGCCAGGCAAAAAATTATCACCTGAATTTTGATCACTAGGCTGTCAATTTATTGATATACCTGCTTATGTAGATATATCAATAAATCCATAGCCTAATGATGAAAAAAACATTTGTTTTTCAAAACAAATATTTATTTTGCAACATATTCTTCCACCCCTTGTCAATGCACTTAATTCAGTGGTGAATATTAACCACATAGACTGAACATGATACAGGAAAAATTTCAAACTGTTTTAATTGCTTCTTTCATGTACCAAGTCCTTTAAGGACATGATTGATCAAGGTTCTCCACAACCTCCTATCTTTATGCACTCTCATATATTAAAATAACTGACCTTGATAAATGATCAAATATAAACTGTTTAATTTCTTTAATTTCCATAACTAATTTAATTTCAAGGCTAAACACACACATCTTACCTAGATAAATTGTAAATTAAGTAAATATATTTGTGTTATAAACTAACTAGTGCATACCAGCATAAACACATAGTAATGTACACTATGACCTTTTTAATGACGTATTTTTATTGTTTGCTGTAGGGTGTTGGTTAGATTAATCTGTATTGCTGCGTATTTGATCAAAACTAAAACTATGGTTTCCATGAGAAATTACCATCTGTATTTTTAGTATTTTCATGGGAACTGTTCCAACATGCTACTGCATGAATTTAAGCACACTACTAAACTGGCATCTCGGTCCCACCCTTTCACTGTCAAAGCAATTAAATGTAACCGTCTATTCTACTAAAACAGCTTCTTCTCTTGCACTTCCCATCTGTGGAACTCCCTTCCCCTTGCTCGCTTCCCCAAAAACTATAATCTTCAAATATTCAAGTTTAATGTCAATTGACATCTGATACCTTGATCTTGTTCCTAATCCTTCTCCGTATCCTTCCCTCAAACACATCTCTTTACTTTTGTTCTCAATCCTCTGTAACTCCTTGCATGCTAGTGGCATTCCCATCTTGCTTAGGGCAAATTGCTTAAAAAAAAAGCATTTATTTTCAGTAAATGGCAATTTCCTTTTATTCCTCAGAATGGGCCAGTACAACCAGGCAACAATGCTATAACAATGTAGCAGTGAAAGTGTTAAATGTCTTATAATTATTGCTTATTCACTTATTATATACTTTGCTTCATTCAGAGATGTTACTTGAAACAGGAATAGTACTTTTCCAACTATTCCTGCTGTCAAATCTGCAAAGAAAGTCAATGCTTAAATTCTACAAAGAAGTTAATAAGCAATTCTGTAGAAGTGGCTAAATGCAGTTACATTTATGAAAGTAACAATAATTTGTTATTATTTTATAATTATAATCAGTTTGAATTTGATGTCTGCCATATACAGACTCGACAGTTTTGATCCCCTTCAAGACATCCAGAAATTTATTTGAAATAAGAGTGCAAGCATTTTGTCACGAAGGATGAAGAGAAAAAAGAACAGATTAGAAAAGGAAAAGTAAAGATAAAACTGACAGAAGAAAAAAAGAAAGAGAAAAGAAAAACAATGTGTTAAGAAAAAAAAAAGGCAAAGAAAATTATGAATGACGTATGCTGGCAAATAATAAGGGAGGAAGAAAAGGAACCCCAGATTTTGCAAATGAGGTGTAGACGATGTTAATCAATTTTGTCCCATTTGTTTTGCCTAAAATCAATTAGATTCCAAATGAAAAGGAACAAATACATGTGAACATGACATGGTAACTCCAGTATCAGTTTTGGCAGACAGAAACTTCAAAAACTCACCCTCACCCTCACCTATCTCTGACCATCCAACACTGTTACTTAATCTCCATCTCTGTCTGTTAAAATGATAGTGTTTGTATGAAAATGGGCCATTCTGATTTGGCTATTTGGTAAATGTGGAGAGACCTGTAGGGGAGAAGGAAAAATGTTTTTCAAGAAGAGGAAAAGAAAAGAGAGAGAAAGAAAAAAATATAGAGGAGGAGATAAGGTTAATTTAAAAAGAAAATGTAAGAAGTAAAGAAATGTAACAACAGTAGGAGGAAGAGGATAAAAAGGGGAGTAGTTTAAGTGGGAGATAAAGATATTGACATTAAGAAGTTTCAAGGAAAGCAAAAGAGAAAGAGAAAGAAGGAGAGCATGTGAAAGAGAAAGAAGGAGAGCATGTGAAAGAGAAAGAAGGAGAGCATGTGAAAGAGAAAGGAGTGCATGTGAAAGAGAAAGAAGGAGAGCATGTGAAAGAGAAAGAAGGAGAGCATGTGAAAGAGAAAGAAGGAAAGCATGTGAAAGAGAAAGGAGTGCATGTGAAAGAGAAAGAAGGAGAGCATGTGAAAGAGAAAGAAGGAGTGCATGTGAAAGAGAAAGAAGGAGAGCATGTGAAAGAGAAAGAAGGAGAGCATGTGAAAGAGAAAGAAGGAGAGCATGTGAAAGAGAAAGAAGGAGTGCATGTGAAAGAGAAAGAAGGAGAGCATGTGAAAGAGAAAGAAGGAGAGCATGTGAAAGAGAAAGAAGGAAAGCATGTAAAAAGAGAAAGAAAGAGAGCATGTGAAAGAGAAAGAAGGAGAGCATGTGAAAGAGAAAGAAGGAAAGCATGTAAAAGAGAAAAGGAGTGCATGTGAAAGAGAAAGAAGGAGAGCATGTGAAGAGAAAGAAGGAGTGCATGTGAAAGAGAAAGAAGGAGAGCATGTGAAAGAGAAAGAAGGAAAGCATGTGAAAGAGAGAAAGAAGGAGAGCATGTGAAAGAGAAAGAAGGAAAGCATGAAAGAGAATGGAGTGCATGTGAAAGAGAAAGAAGGAGAGCATGTGAAAGAGAAAGAAGGAGTGCATGTGAAAGAGAAAGAAGGAGTGCATGTGAAAGAGAAAGAAGGAGAGCATGTGAAAGAGAAAGAAGGAGTGCATGTGAAAGAGAAAGAAGGAGAGCATGTGAAAGAGAAAGAAGGAGAGCATGTGAAAAGAGAAAGAAGGAAAGCATGTGAAAGAGAAAGGGTGCATGTGAAAAGAGAAAGAAGGAGTGCATGTGAAAGAGAAAGAAGGAGTGCATGTGAAAGAGAAAGAAGGAGTGCATGTGAAAGAGAAAGGAGTGCATGTGAAAGAGAAAGAAGGAGAGCAGCACGTGAAAGAGAAAGAAGGAAGCATGTGAAAGAGAAAGAAGGAGTGCATGTGAAAGAGAAAGAAGGAGAGCACGTGAAAGAGAAAGAAGGAGTGCATGTGAAAGAGAAAGAAGGGTGCATGTGAAAGAGAAAGGAGAGCATGTGAAAGAGAAAGAAGGAGAGCATGTGAAAGAGAAAGAAGGAAAGCATGTGAAGAGAAAGGAGTGCATGTGAAAAGAAAGAAGGGGTGCATGTGAAAGAGAAAGAAGGAGAGCATGTGAAAGAGAAAGAAGGAGTGCATGTGAAAGAGAAAGAAGGAAAGCATGTGAAAGAGAAAAGGAGTGCATGTGAAAGAGAAAGAAGGAGTGCATGTGAAAGAGAAAGAAGGGTGCATGTGAAAGAGAAAGAAGGAGTGCATGTGAAAAGATAGAAGGAGAGCATGTGAAAGAGAAAGAAGGAGAGCATGTGAAAGAGAAAGGAGTGCATGTGAAAAGAAAGAAGGAGAGCATGTGAAAGAGAAAGAAGGAAAGCATGTGAAAGAGAAAGAAGGAGTGCATGTGAAAGAGATAGAAGGAGAGCATGTGAAAGAGAAAGAAGGAGATCATGTGAAAGAAGAAGATCATGTGAAAGAGAAAGCAGGAGTGCATGTGAAAGAGAAAGAAGGAGTGCATGTGAAAGAGAAAGAAGGAGTGCATGTGAAAGAGAAAGAAGGAGAGCATGTGAAAGAGAAAGAAGGAAAGCATGTGAAAGAGAAAGGAGTGCATGTGAAAGAGAAAGAAGAAAGGAAGGAAAGAGAAAAGAAGGAGAGCATGTGAAAGAGAAAGAAGGAGAGCATGTGAAAGAGAAAGAAGGAGAGCATGTGAAAGAGAATGAAGGTGTGCATGTGAAAGAGAAAGAAGGAGAGCATGTGAAAGAGAAAGAAGGAGTGCATGTGAAAGAGAAAGAAGGAGTGCATGTGAAAGAGAAAGAAGGAGAGCATGTGAAAGAGAAAGAAGGAAAGCATGTGAAAGAGAAAGAAAAAAGCATGTGAAAGAGAAAGGAGTGCATGTGAAAGAGAAAGAAGGAGAGCATGTGAAAAGAAAAAGGAGTGCATGTGAAAGAGAAAGAAGGAGTGCATGTGAAAGAGAAAGAAGGAAAGCATGTGAAAGAGAAAAGGAGTGCATGTGAAAGAGAAAGAAGGAGTGCATGTGAAAGAGAAAGAAGGAGAGCTTGTGAAAGAGAAATAAGGAGTGCATGTGAAAGAGAAAGAAAAATGGGATGAGAAGAAGTTGAAGAAGAAATAGGATAAAATGGATGGGTTTCAGAGATTATACAAACATTTGAAGAATGAGAAAAATATTAAAAGCACCCTCATCACATTCATTAGCATTATACATGTAATAAGCCAATTTTGTTTTTCTTGCATTAATTCCCAACCACTGAAAATAACTTTCTTTTTGATTTTTAAGCGTTTCTATAATAAAAACATTTGGAAACAAGAACTGAGAGAGGGGAAAAGAGAGGAAGTTAGAAATGAAAGAGGAGGAGAAAAAGGATGCAAGAAACAGAAAGAGAGAGAAAGCAAAAATGAAATAAAACTAAAGAGTTACAGAGGGAGAAAAATCAAGAAATGAATAATGAGACGAGAAAGTGAAAGACAGAGGAAATGAGAATTTAATTAGAAGAGAGGAAGCAAAAAATTAATGAGAACTAGAGAGAGAGGGGAGAGAAATGAAGACAGAGGAAGAAAGAAGAGAAAGGAAATAAAGAGAATAGAAAGATGGAAGGAGGAAGTTAAGAGGATGAGAGGAAGAGGAAAGAGAGAGAGAGGAAAAAGAAATGAAGAAGAAAAGATAGAAATGATGAGGAGGAGGAAGACAAAGTAGAAGAAAGAAACCAATGGAGGAGGAGGACAAAGTGGAAAACAATGAGGAGGAGGACAAAGTGGAAGTAAGAAACAAATGAGGAGGAGGACAGAGAAGAAGCAAGAAACAAAGTAGGAGGACAGTGAAGAAACAAGAAACAAATGAGGAGGACCGAAAAGAAGTGAGAAACGAATAAGGATGAGGGGAGTGAGGAAGCAAGAAACTAATGAAGAGGAGGACAGTGAGAAAGTGAGAAACAAGTGAGGAGGAGGACAGTGAGGAAGTGAGAAACAAATGAGGAGGAGGAGAGTGAGGAAGTGAGAAACAAATGAGGAGGAGGACAGTGAGGAAGTGAGAAACAAATGAGGAGGAGGAGAGTGAGGAAGTGAGAAACAAATGAGGAGGAGGAGAGTGAGGAAGTGAGAAACAAATGAGGAGGAGGAGAGTGAGGAAGTGAGAAACAAATGAGGAGGAAGACAGAGACGAAGTGAGAAACAAATGAGGAGGACAGTGAAGAAGTGAGAAATGAATGAGGAGGAGGACAGAGAGGAAGTGAGAAATGAATAATGAAGAGAGGAAATAAGTAAGGAATGAGTAGTAGAGAGAATGAAAGTGCAAAATGAATCAGGAGAAAGAGGAAGTAAGAAATACAACAGAGGAGAGAAAGAGGAAGTGAGAAATAACTGAGAAGGAAAAAAGACAGAAAAGATGTGTGTAATTATGTGAGTAAGATAAGAAAACAAGAAATGAATGAGGAAGAGCTGCAGAAAGAGGGCAGATGAACAAAATCAAACAAATTGTGTGTGAATGGGAAAATAGTATTTCCTTATAAATCACAGATAAATAAATAAACAGAAAGAGCAAAGAAGAGAGACTTGTAGAAGATTTTATAAAATCAATATGGGAAATGACAATTTTGATTAAGCCTCAAATACAATGGAAAGTATGCAGTTCACCTTATCAAAATAATCTGTCTCATGTCAAATCCAAATGCTGATATTCCTGCTAAGGCACACAGACATACATACACACATATATATATATATATATATATATATATATATATATATATATATATATATATATATGAATTACATAGAAATGAAACTCAATTGTACCCCATTTTAGGGCCATTTTGCTCCTCAAGATAAATTTCCTGGAGTTTGTTAATACTAAAATGTTTGATAAAAAATGAATCTTTTTTTATCAAAATTTATATATATATATATATATATATATATATATAATTTCCCATATAATGGTAAGACATTAACTACAGTATGCAATTGAAATACCTCCCACATCATGGTAAGACATTAGCTCGATGAAGATACCCTTTGCCACTTGCCTAAGTTCACAAGCACCACAAAGCTGACAGTTTCAAATGTGGGAGGTATTTCCGTCACACCCTGTAGCTAATGTTTTACCATTTCATGGAAGGTATTTCTATTGCCCTATATATATAAACTGAAAGTAATGAAAACTGAATGAAAGCAACACTTCTGATATCTCTTTCTGACAACAAAATGGAACAAATTTTGGTTTATAAATTTCCATCACATTGCAGTTTTTGACAAGTGATATAACAGGCACTAATTTTTTAATTGTTATAAATTGAATGTATTATAAAATTGAGTGAGCTTCCCTTTTAATAAGCTCTATCATCTTACAACCTTTACACTTGCTTTTTTTTTATTTACACAAAATGCAAGAAACCATTCCAAGGATCATCATTTTCTTGCCAACAATTTGTAATAAAAAGTACCATAAATTATTACTTTAATTAGTCTCCTTTAACCTGTAATTTCAACAAAACGTACCATGAATAATTAGATGTTTTATTTTCCATTTTGTCCTCAGAAGTCAGAATTTCAGTTAAATTATGAAATGTAATATAGCTTTTGATTGATATACTAAATTAGAAATTGTGATTTAATTTTGATTAATATAATAATTATTTTTTTTTAAAATGTAAAATATTAAATATTTCTTCAAGATATTGATTTTCTATGAAAATTATCTAAGATTGCAAATCATCTTTTTCTAATCAGAAATGACAAATTTAATCAAATTCACATGATGATACCATTTGAATAATGAAGAATAGAAAAAACTCATGACAATTTTCAACATATTAAATACAAGAACTGAAACACAAGAAAAATGAATAGGAAAGATACTATTTGAAAAATAATTAATACTTCTCTATGATAAGAAAAGAGTTAAGAGGGTAAAGATTAACTTTTAAAACTAATGTTTGTTAAGTATTGGTTTTTGTTGTGTGCATTCTGTTATTTAGATCTTGTCTTGCACAAACTGATTTCTAAAGTGCCAAGAATAGGCTTTCAGACTAAAAATATGAATTAACAGTAAAATTAAGCCTTAGGAATGAAATATCATAAGAACGCATGATAAACTTTCTCTTTCCCAAAATAGCAAAAATTATTCACTAAACTACAATGACTTTGCCACAAGATATGGAGATAAAATAAAAAAACAGAGAAACACTGTGGCAACTTTTATCTCCATTGTACAAAGCTCCAATCTAAAGCCAAATTTGACAGACACAAAAAAATGTTGTTATTCATTAATATTAGATGTTTTTCTTCTGCTGTTTCCAAAATTAATACAAGTTAATTTTCTTTTGTTTTTTGACTGAAACATATTTGCATACACACAGATACATACACACACACACACACATATATATATATATATATATTACACACAAATGTATGAAGATTCATACACTAAAATATACTGCCAAAATTTTTTATATGTTCTCATTCTACTTGCTTGTAGATTTATTCTGGGAGTATAATTTATTTATTTTGTTGCTTGTATGCATAAAATATAGTTTATTCGGTCTGCAATGAATCATTACTGGAAATCAGCAATTTTTTTTTATTTTTATATCAATTTTGAACATGAGTTCTCACAAAACAAGTCAGATTTCAATATTATTAAACTGAAATTAAGTAAATCTGTGGCTTATCGTCAATTTCTGAAAGTACAAAGTCATTTTAGCAATATTTGGGTTGAATGCCTGAACGAATCAGAACAAAGAAAGATTGGATAAAATCAAAAGAAAATAACAGTTGTTGGTTGATTGCAACGTTATTTCAGACAAGAGAGTTTGTTCTCAAAATACTGAAACTTCATATACTAGCAACAGCTTAAAAATTGATCAACAATTTTTATCAAGGTCAGATATAAATAAGAAACTAACCACAAGCATGGTTCAAAGGACTGAGTCAAAAATATTTGAACAAGATCTATATTAAGTAGAATCAAACATCTGCTCTCTTTCACATAAACAAGGAAAGTTAACTTAAAAAGTAATGAAATCATTCTTGTCTCACATTTGGAACAGCTATTGATGATTATGTAAAAAATTCAGATATTATAACTAAAAATATATCAGTGAAAAGACAATATAAATAAAGACAAAAGGAAAACTTATCTTTACAAATGCTTTTTGTCTTCTCATGGACTTTATTATGGTCAATGAAAGGATTTTATTTTGCAACAAATATTTATAAACAGAAGTAAAAATGTTATTAATTTTTAAAGGTTTTAAAATTTAAGAACACTAATAAATATTCATCTGGCTAACTGGGAATGTCAAGATAAACTATGGAACATGATAAATGAAATGACTTCATGCCTAACAAATGAAAGTGAGTAAATGTTGAATTTACCAGCTCAGATTGAAGAATCGGAGAGCAGTGTTTGAATTCCAGTTGAATCCATTACATTCACTTACATGCTAATACCCTTTGGAAAGGATCCTCTTCTTCTCCCTCCCCACAGCTATGGGTAAATATCAGGACAAACCAGGTTCTATAGCCTTGGATGGCCACTAGTCTACCACAGAAAGAAATGGCAACCTACTGCAGGGAAAAATCTGCTTCGTCAGTCATGTATCAAAAGATACATGATTGCCTAAGTATGTATTATGCATGGCACATAACTGACATATATATATATATATATATATATATATATATATATATATATATATATATATATACATCAGATGGAATAAAGTCCACGTTTCATAGCATTTCTTTTTTAGTCACATTGGTTGACATGTCTAAGCATCATTTTTCTTGACATGCAAAAATACACCCACCTCCAGCCTCTGACCTTATTTTTATATTTTAGCATAGACCTGTTTAATTACTTAATCTAGACATACCCATAAGTATATTTTTAATTCTGACTTTATGCCTCTTTTAACTTATGAAAAGAGGTAAAGATTTGTCTTTAAATTTCCATAATAAATTATTTTTATCACAAGTTATCTACCAACGCCTGTTTCTTATTACTGAAACATGAAAGTTTTTGTGTAGTGATGTCAAATGTTTTTTGTAATTTACTATTTCATACATACACCACGCACACACACACATATATATATATATATATATATATATATATATATTTGAGAAAGTGAGTGAGTCAGTAAATTAAGAAATGTTCAATCAAATTATCTCTTAACCGACAGTAAGATTTCACCTAACACCACTCATCAGGGTCACAGACAGAGAATTTGATTGAACATTTACTAACTAGTAATTTTTACATATTGATAAGAGTTATTGTTTTTTATTATTTTTAATCATATAGATAGAGATATATGTCTTTACTGTTTATATTAATATGTTAATATACAGTTATTATTAATATTAATTTATATTATATAACAGATATATATAAGTAATAGTCCTAAAAAACAAACAACTTAACATCAATGAAGCTTCAAATTTAGGAGCAAACAGACTAAATATATTTCAAATATGGAAAAAAAATACCAAAATGCGTGAAACTTCAACATAAATGAAAGTGTGAAGATGTAATACTTTAAAAAAAGAAGATGAAGATGTCTGAAGATGAGATATTTGAAAAGAACATAAAACTGACGTAACACAAGAAAAACAATACATATATAGTCACAATATGAACTATAAAAATTCTAGGGAGAATGGTCAGGAACAATAACAAGATATAACTAATTATACAAAATTTAAATTTCCAAACTTCAAAAGAAAAAATTAAAGAATTACTGTTAAAATAGCTATTCATACTTAATTAAATATTACTAAATACATTTATTACTTCAGTTGAAATTCACATCTTGATCCTATATTCTGTGCCAGATCATGGCATTGTTTGCTGTCTCTTTTTCATCCTCCACCATTCATTTCTTTTTCCCTTGTCTACTTTTTTGTGGATAATCTCATTGGTTGATATTACTAAAGCTTCTCTTAAAATGTCTGACTTCAAATTTCCATTCTCATTTAGTTCATTATATCTTCATTAATGCCGTCTTTATACTTCTACTTGAAATTCTGGTCATTCAAGCATCTGTTGTATTGCAATTTGGATGCTGCCTTGGCCCTCTTCAATTTCCATAGTTTCATTCTAAGATTACATATCACCGGAAGGTGGTCAATCCCGCAGTTGGCACTTGGGTATGTTTTACAGTATAAAACTGCATTCTTGTATCTCTTATTGATTGTTATACAGTCAATTTGGTTCTTTGTTTCTCCTCGTGGGCTTCTCCATGTTCATTTAAACATCTTGACCAATTCCTTTGCTGCTTTTTTGTTCTCTAACTGACCACATTTTTTTATGTTCTGACATACCATGTGTTCTTTGTTTGATGCAAAGAGTTACTGGATACAGTCCAATGACATCTGTCCCTCATGTCTTCCCTTACCAGACAATTCCAAAGAGTCTTACCCCATTTATGTGCTTGTTATTTATAGTTTTGTTAACAGTTGCTGGTTGATGGCCAGTTGCACATGTCCTTTCTTTATTGGGTGAGAAATTAATTCCAGTAAACTTAGATTGGAGCTGCCCTCTGTTTTTAATAATTAGTATCTTTTATACCTTCTTTGTTTTTAATAAGTCCTACTAAGCTAGGAAGCTGAAACTGTTTAAACAATTAGTACATGGAATCAAATTCTTTAGAGAGGGGTTACCTAACTCTTAACATCCATCAGCCACAAAATTACCATTAGCCAGCAAGGAAGATTAAGCAGAAAGACGTATAAATGTAAGCAAACTTTATGCAGTAATGGGTTAATTTCATTATTATTATTATGGAATATATAAAAAAAAAACCTTCAAGAAGAGAAAGTTTGTCTGTTCCAAAGTGAGGTAGTAAATTAATTTTGAAAACAGTATGTAACCTTGACTCTTTAGACAATTCTTTAAAATTCAGTAGGTGGCTGTACACATTTGGCCTATAATATTATATATATATATATATATATATATATATATATATATATATATATATATATATCAAAGAAATAATCACGCATAGAATCAATCAGCAATATTAATGCTATTATTGGTGACATCCATCGCTAGTAGTGTATAATGTATGCATTAAAATACTGTTAATCCATAGAATGATGTGATCCTCATTTATAAAACTGTTGTCTGTTTTTTCCAGTTTATATTTTTTTAAAATGCAAGTACTTTCGAATAATCCTTTATTCATTGTCAGGCATATCTTTACCTTATAAAATCAAAACTTGGAGACGAAATAATTGTTTGTAGACCAAAAGATTTTTTTTTTGAGAATGTGCTATTATTGACAGTTGTATACAATATCAGAATGTGCAAAGATGCAACGCTAAGTTTTTCAAAATTTTAAGTGAGAATTTTATTTGAACTTTTCTTGTGATGTGGTAAATCCACGTATTCTATTTTTACAAGTGTTTTCAGTTAATATGTCATGAACTAAGTTCAATTAATATAGTGTTATGTCTTAGTAGTAGTTTTTATAGGAATTATATATAATGAATACAGAATCCTTAAAAATCCATCTGGTTAGATAAGTAAATGAATTTTTAAGGATTCTGTATTCATTATTATATTGCTCTGTTCTTACATTGAGCTCTCTTTGGATTAATGCCCTCCTTAGAATTATCCCTACTAATTATCAATTGATATTATATGTCTGAAATTTGGTATATTTAAAAGGTAAGAGTGCTAAGTATCAGATATAGTATTTACAGCTATAGACAGTGTGCACATACGAATCAAGACTGTCAGTTTTACACCTCACTGTGATTTTCAGAACAAGTGCCACTACTCCT